TCCGTGAATAAATTATTTTTTCCAGCGGATATCTTAGTTACAACATGATTGAGCTAGCAAAGCAGTTTTGTGTTGCTATGTGTGGTATTTATTCAGTTATGGGAAATCACGATGTCTAGAAAGCATCAGTGGCTGCAGCTGACAGGGACAGTTAGCAAAGCTAACATCAGGACATCATCTGTTAAAAGCCTCCCGTTGTCGGATACGACATGAAACTACTCGAGTTAGCTCAATCGTGTTGTAACTCAGACATCCGCTGGAAAAAATATTTTTTTTCACGTTGACGAGATGGCGTTTTGGGTGGAGCGGTCGCTATGGACACGGAGCTTGCTGTTTCTGTAGGTACACATTTCCTGGGGACACCTGCACGTCTCGGCCACGCCCCCTCCATTGTGATTGGCTAAAGCGCAGCATCGTTCAAACTCAAAGCCCCCCCCCCCCGTCGTCTTTCACACAGAGCTGCCGACAGATTCTACAATGTAAATTGCAGACTCTGTCTTGAGATATACAAAGTAAATAAGGATATTTCCCAAAATGTCCAACTATTCCACTCTACATGTGCTGTTACTTCCCTGGTGTCGAGGGACAAATACATACAGTGGATGTGTCACATTTCAACATCTACAGACAGTTTAATGATTCATTCTTATATTTGTTATTTGTCCCCTTTCACAGCAGCCATAGCAGGCTTGTGGTGGAATAAAGTGACGTCACAGCGTACCCTCTATTTCCCTGTGATGTGATCTGGCTATTATTTCACCCATTTAGAGATCTGACCCAAAATAGACTCTCTGTGCTTCTGCAGTGTAAATCTTCTGTACTCACTTTCCCTCCAGAAGCAGAGGCACCACTCCGCCGTAGAAACCTTCCCATCCTTGTAGCTGTCACAGGAGTTGAAGAAGGGTCGGATGCAGACCTCGTACTTGTCCAGGTTAATAGCAGCGAGTTCAGCTTGGTCCAAATACAGGTCACTGTTGGTGTCCAGCCTGGAGAACATCCAGCCGATGGAGTCCTTGCAGCTGGCTACGAGGCTCCTGTCCAGCGCTGTCAGAAATCGTTTTCATAGCACTTTATTTCTTTTCATACCAGTACATTTCACATTACATGCCTTTGCATAGACAATTGAGTTGTAATATTGAGAATAAAGCTGCTTTGTGAGTTTCAAACCTGAAGCGGTGCCAGCTCCGAGCTTGCCAGAGTTATTCTGCTTTGCGTTTCCATGAAGGAGTTGGAACCAGTCTCTCAGGCGGTCGCCCAGGTCTGCCAGGTCCTGGCCCGTGCAGCTCTCTGAGGGAGCAATGAATAAAAAAGGGAATCCCGGCATTCAAAACTCTGGCAGACACTAAACAGCAATCTGACTCACCTTCCCAACAGACAAGCTTCACATTGCTCTTACTGATGTACAGTGAAAAGAATCAAAGACACAGCTTTCCCTCACTGTAAAGCTGTCGAGGCGAACTGTTCATGCTGTCATTTATAAGCGTATGATCTGCTGCTCAAAGAAAACATTACTTCGCAATTAACTTTGTGGCAGCAAATTGCTGTTATGCAATAAAGAAATCCACTTTCAGACTCAGGCTAAGCACTTTTTCCAGGCTACAGATGAAAAACAGGAGTAACATTTCATCCTTATGATCAATTGGCATTTTTACATGCCCGAGAGCTTACAATCAATACTGTTTGGCTGCCATGATAGATAGTGTACACTCTAAATAATTACATGATTGAAAGAGCAGTTTAACCACATGGGGGATATTTGGCTAACAGTAATCTCTGAAATTGGTGAGTATTGATCCCAAACGCGGAGCATTGGGTTGATTGGTTCAATCCTACTAACAGCATGCTGTGTGTGGGGCATTTAAATCTTCACTGCAGATGAAAAGTCTTTTTTTTTGTTTAGGAGGATTCCTAACTGATTGAAACAACCCAGAAGCATCTATATAGCAGCCATCATGAGAGCTGTTTGAATTCTCTAAATGCTACGGAAAGGTGATTCAGTGCTTTCTTTCTTATCTCCTTCAGCATTGGATGCACTGGACCATCCTTTACCAAAGGAAAGAAGATAATGCCGTCCTTTAATTTCTTTGAAGCAACATTTAAAGCGATGCAACGTGGCTGGTCATGAAAACAAACAATACAACCATCTTCCATAAATTTAACGTTTCATTTTATGTAATCATACCACTGTAATAGGTATTCATGGCAACAAATATGAGTGCACAGGAGAGTGAGCGTAAGCAACCATTCTCAATGTGACAACTAAGGATGCACAATACTGAATTTTTTTGCCCATATCCAATATACCGATATCTAACAACTCATTTGACTGATAACCGATAGTGATATTGATATATCCACTTTTCCCCCCAATTTTAGTGGCCATCAAGTCTTTTTCGTAGTGGAATTAGCATCATATTATGCATTGTCATGGCCCACCAGCAGATGGAGACATGAAATACAATACTTTTCAATGTATGTAATATTCAGTGTGCAAATTTTGACTATCCAGAAAAGTCATGTTGGCCGATTATGATAGTTCATTTTAAAGCCCATATCGGCCAACACTGATGACGGGCTGATATTATCGTGCATCCGTAGTGACAACCATTTAATTTCACTTTTGTATATATTGCTGTTTTTAAAATTACAATTCCAACTTTGGTAATGAAGTAATACTTTTCTCTAGATTGTCCACATTTATTGCTTGATATTGGACAGAATTGTCAACTTGTTACCCTCCATTTCCATTTTCAGTTTGACATTGCTGATGCTGATGCCATGACTGATTTCTGCGAGGGAGGTGGATTTTGATTTTCCCTAACCAATCACTAGAGATCAAAGTATCTGCCTTAATATAATGTCATTTCAAGTCTACACTAATGCATAGCCATGCCAACATATTTGTTTTGCTGAGGCTGTGGAGCTGAGTGGAGTGGAGCAAAGTAGAAACAAATTCATTGTTGGGTGATAGCCTTGATAGCAGCGTCTTTCTTATCTTATCAGCTGATCATTGCTGTTATTAATCCTTTTTGGCTCCGGCACACCACTTGACAATGCTTGACAAAAGTTAGTCCTGCTCATGGTGCTGATTCCCCCACAGTGCTCATTAATAATTTTTTATTCTAAGTGAGCTGTTTTATGTCACGATGTCAGACAAACCAGTAAAGTCAAACTTGGTGAGGTGGGCAGATGCCGCACCAGAATTCGTTTGCACCAGAGTTCGTTTGTAACCAGACCTAGACCACCTTTTCAGGAAGGTATCCTCATCTCTCAGTCTGGTTGTTTTACTGCAAACCCAAGTGCGACTGCTGTGTTCACACCTGCCCAAACGAACCGCACTTAGGGGTCAAACGAACTTGAGTTAGTTTGAACCGAACCAAACAGGGAAGGTGTGAAAGCACCCTGATTCTCTTAGCATTGTAGTTGTCTTTTCTAAGTCCTCATGAATTCCCCTTCACATCTTTCATTGACCTCAAGACGTTTTCCATCAAGGTCAAGGAAAAGTGTTTGGGAAAATATACATAGGACATAGTTTCTTTGACTATTAGACCCATGCACGTATTAAGAGAACTGGATACAGCGTCACTCCTATGGAAGATGTACAGTGGCGCATGACCCACAAAAAGTTCAACTTCAGTATGAACTGACTCGGATCTTCTGTATTGTTGGGCACATAGTGAAGGTTCACTAGAGACTTCCACCGGCCAAGTGGCTAACGTCCGGTTCTGCCCTCCCTTAACTTGTAAAAAAAAAAACTATTTGTGTGACTGTTCTATCTTTTCGAAATATTATCAAACCTTTTATTCATTAACTTTCTGTAACCACTTATCCTGTTGGGGGTCCTGGGGGTGCAGGAGCCTATCCCAGCTGACATTAGGCAAGAGGCAGGGTACACCATGGACAGGTCACCAGACTAGCGCAGGGCTAACACATAGAGACAGACAACCATTCACACTCACATTCCCACCTATGGCCAATTTAGAGTCACCAATTAACCTGCATGTCTTTATGGGGTGCCGTTTGTAAAGTGGCTCACGCTGAAAATAACATCAACATTTTGCCACATTTAGCTTCAAACAATGTTTAAAAAAGTGTTGTGAATTTTTTAACGTCACCTTTTACCACATTTACAGCAACATTTCTTAACTTAGAAATATATTAAATAGTTAAATCTAAATATTAAATCTAAATCTAAATGCTAAATGCTAAATGCTAAATCTAAATGTTAAATCTAAATATAAATGCTAAATATAAATCTAAATGTTAAATGTTAAATCTAAATGTTCTGGGTGAAACTAAATATTTAGCTAATATGCAAATTCACACCGCCGGTCATCGGAAGTACCAAAATAAAAGCTCGAGATGGTCAGACTCTGTTTATAGAATCAAATGACGAATTAAAACCAACTTATCGGGGGAAATGAACACTTAAACATACATTAGCGTGATAATAACTCCATAAAATAACAAAAAACATGTTTGGAGAAAGTTTATTTGACGTGTACTTTGAGTCGTTAGTGTCCCTTCGGGAATTGCCGTGTTGTTTACAAATACGTCCGGGTAGAAAGCCATTAGAAAACCATAAGCTGTTAGCCCCGTTAGCGGTGTCTGTAATGACTCATTAACTCAGTGAACGGTCCGTGAAAAAACATTTTTTCCAGCGGATGTCTTAGTTACAACATTATTGAGCTAACTGGAGTAGTTTCATGTCGTATCCGACAACGGGCCGTTTCACGTCCGTTTCACGGACCGTTTAAGAGTTAATGAGTCATTACAGACCGCTAACGGGGCTAACAGCTAACGGTTAGCCCAGCTAATCTACGATAACCATGTTATTAATTTCAAAGCGTGCACACAGAAATAGTAGTGTGTGTTCAGTCATTGTGTTTATGGACTTTACAAACATCAGATTAGTCTAAATGGTGCTATAGTGACGTGAAAAATGTGAGATATACACACACATATATCTAGCTAAACTCTGCTGGTTTTCTACCTGGAAGTATTTGTAAACAACCAGGCGATTCCCTCCGAAGGGACACTAACAACTCAAAGTACACGTCTAATAAACTTTCTCCAAACATGTTTTTTGTTATTTTAGGTCGTTATTATCACGCTAATGTATGTTCAAGTGTTCATTTCCCCCGATAAGTTGGTTTTAATTCGTCATTTGATTCTATAAACACAGTCTGACCTTTTATTTTGGTACTTCTGGTGACTGGCGGTGTGAATTTGCATATTAGCTAAATATTTAGTTTCACCCAGAACATTTAGATTTAACATTTAGATTTAGATTTAGATTTAGATTTAGCATTTATATTTATATTTATATTTCATATTTAGATTTAACATTTAGATTTAACATTTAACATTTAGGTTTAGATTTAATATTTAGATTTAACATTTAGATTTAGATTTAATATTTAGATTTAACATTTAACATTTAGGTGCCACATTTAATATTCAGATTTCACTACTTAATATATTTCGAAGTTAACAAATATTGCTGTAAATGTGGTAAAAGGTGACGTTAAAAAATTCACAACACTTTTTTAAACATTGTTTGAAGCCAAATGTGGCAAAATGTTGATGTTATTTTCAACGCGAGCCACTTTACAAACGGCACCCCATATGTCTTTGGACTGTGGGAGGAAGCCGGAGCACCCAGCCCAGTGGACCATTTTTGGACGTGGAAGTTGTAATACCTCAGTTGGGCCACTTTGTAAAATAGGATTCAAAGCACGGCTCTGTTCCCAAGACTTCATTCAACCGCAGCCTAGAAGGATGACAGTCCAAGATTAAAATGCATAATCAGAAGAAGGTGAAGAAAAGGCCACTTACCACGTTTTGTGTCAGTATTTGTGAGGGTGACGGAGGCTGTGGCACAGGGGCAGAAGCCAGCACAAAGGATACTGAGCTCTTTGCCTGTGAGGCAGGCCTGCTGCTCCAGCTTGCACTGTGAGGAGAAGGAGAGAGACAGTTAAAATATTTATGGAGGTGACCGCAGGAAAGAGAGATTGCTCATTCAGATGAGACACTGCACTTAGAGAAAGCCAGCAAGAATGAGCTGTCATTTTCCGCTGTCTTTTCATGCAAGGTCAAAATTAAAAACTATACATAAATCAATAAAGAGTCCTGGCAGGGCCCGGTGTACGGTGATGCCGCTCAAAACAACGTCAGTCATTAATCATACAGACACGTTGAGCCGGTGCACTTGTCCTCCCGCAAGCAGTGATGAACTGTGCTGCCCTGCTGCGTCCACGTATATGTCAGCGCAGCAGGAAACAGCTCTTGACTGGACTCTTCTCATTATTTAAAATGATGACACTGCCGCTTTCCATTTCTTCTCAGGGTTTTTATGCTGGCAGAATCCAGTAATAAAGCCAAAGAAAAATGATGGGAGTAAAACATAGAGTGCTTTTAACGAGAGATGGCAGTGCAGAATATTTCCTCTTACCTCAGAGGCGTAGTTGTGTCCATCAGAGCCACATACAGGTGAAGAGGCAGCCACGGGACAAGGCTTGCAGGTGCTTTCATGAGCCTCCACCTGCCCTGACTGCTTCACTCTGAACATGACAGGAAAAAAGGAAAACATTTAAAATGTCAGTCCACTTGAATTACAGAAGAAACATTTTCTCACCCACCACGCAGATAGTTTTCCAGGGCTTTTAGGGTATCTGTCACTGAGATGTAACCCCAATACAACAAGAAAACAAGAGTCTACAGTCACGCTAGCGGCTCGGTGAGGCTGTACTTGGGCATGGTGATGGTGCTTTGACCTAAATGCTAACTTCAGCATGCTAACATGCCCACAATGACAATCTAATACCTGCTAAATATCAGCAGATATAAGATTTACCAATTTAACCATCTTTATTCAGGTAAAGTTTGAGGCTGTTGGGGATGTCGTTAGTTTTGCATGTGTTTGGTCAAATTAAAATTTGATCTGATGATGAAGCTCAAGGAAAAGTCAGGGGATAATTTAAGTTAGACCATGACTGTCTGTACAAAATCAAATTGGGGTTAGCCCTGTGTTCCCTCAGCTCTTAGTTCCCTACTGAACTTTTCCATCCCATATTAGCCCCTTTGTTCAATAAGCCCTTTGTTCCCTCATTATCAGAGCAGGCCCTTAACTGGGTTGGAGATTAGGGTTGCTCATGTTAATACAGGGGCGAAAGCATTACCTCACTGGTGGAGGTTTTGATCTGAGGAAACATAGGGCTGAGGGAACATTAGGTTGAGGGAACGTAGGGCTGAGGGAACACAGGGTTTAGGGGACATCGTGTGGAGGGCACAAGAGGTTGAGGGAACATTGGGCTGGGGGAACACAGTAAAGGAAACAAAGAGCTGGGGGAACATAGAGTAGAGGGAATAAAAGACTGAGGGAACATAAGGTTGGGGGAAATAGAGCTAAGGGGAGAAAGGGCTGAGAGAATAAGGTTTGAGGCAACATAGGGCTAAGGGGACATAGGAATAAGGGAACATAGGGCTGATGGGACATCAAGCTGAGGGAACATAAGGCTGAAGGACCAAAGGGGTAAGGGAACATAGGGATAAAGGAACAAAGGGCTGAGGCAACATATGGCTGAAGGAACAGTGCTGAGGGAACAAGGGGCCAAGGGAACATAGGGCTGGAGGAATAAGGTTTAAGGCAACACAGGGCTGAGGGAACATAAGGATAAGGGAACAAAGGGCTGAGGAAACATAGGGCTGAGGGAACACAGTGTTGAGGGAACATAGGGCTGAGGGAATGTAGGGCTGAGGGAACAAAGGGCTGAGAGAAAAAGGTTTGAGGCAACATAGGGCTGAGGAAACATAGGGATAAGGGAACAAAGGGCTGAGGCAACATAGAGCTGAGGGAACATAGTGTTGGGGGAATAAAGAGCTAAGGGAGAAAAAGACTAAGGGAACACAGGGCTGATGGAACATAGGATTGAGAAAATATAAGGCTGAGGCGACACAGGGCTGAAGGAACATTATGTCGAGGGAACATAGGGATAGGGGAACAAAGGGCTGAGGCAACATAGGGCTTAGGGAACACAGTGTTGAGGGAATAAAGGGTTGAGGAAAGGTAAGGCTGAGGCAACACAGGGCTGAAGTAACATAGTTTTGAGGGAACAAAGGGCTGAGGGAACATAGGGCTGAAGGAAGAGGGTTTGAAGCAACATATGGCTGAGGGAACATAGGGATAAAGGGACAAAGGGCTGAGGCAACATTGGGCTGAGTAAATAAGGGATGAGGGAACAGGGCTGAGGCAAGGTAGGACTGAGTGAATGAAGGATGAGGGAACATAGAGCTGAAGGTACATAGTGTTGAGGGAATAAAGGGCTAAGGGAAAATAGGGCCTAAGGAACATAGAGTAAAGGGAACATTGGGCAGAGGGAACAAAAGGCTAAGGGAAAATAGGGCTGAGGGAACATAGGGTCAAGGGAACATATGGCTGAGGGAATATGCGTTGAGGGAACATAAGGCTGAGGTGACACAGAGCTGAAGGAACATGGTAGTTAAGGGGACATAGGGCTTAAGGTAAATAGTGTTGAGGGAATATTGAGTTGACGGAACAAAGCTTAGACCCCACAAAACTTAATGGCGATCCAATAGCTGAGATATTAAAGTCAAAGTGGCCAACATATCCCTCTATAGATTCATCCATCCAGTGTGGCAACAAGCTCATAAGCAACATCGCTCTCCAGAAACAGTGACCCTGCTACTCATTTGCAAATGTTTTCATTGTGACTATTTCTTTAACAGAAAGTATTTTCAGAGACAGCATTTGACAGAGAGGTCTGTAGATTTTCGAGAGTAACAGATAATGCCTGCCTGTCTTCCACAGTGCTGAAATGAAATGTCCACAGGCGTCAGGACAGCTGAGTCACTGCCCAGTTAAGAGACTCACATCTTGACACCACACTTAGTTATTTCTTAAAAAACAGAAAACTAGCACTTGCACTGCAACACTGATCATGCTTTCAGTTGGTCGTTTGAGAGAGATGCTCTTCCAACATCTGATGACATCTTGCTCTTGTTCCTGTCAAGTTTGAATGCACTTATTGTGAGTTGCTTTGGACAAAAGGATCTCCAAAATAAATGTAATGTAACGTGACTGGGGAAAGACATGTTGCTGTTGAATTTTTTAGATTCACTTTCACTGTGATGGGATGGCAATAGAAACCTTAGGGGTAGATATCTACAAACTTGGATAAATAAAACAAAAACTGTCTGCATTTCCTGTTAATATTTGAATGCAGTGCTTCGTAAAATCCCCCCTTTGCTTGCTTTCCTCTCACACGGTGATTGACTTCATGTTCAGTGAGCACAAACATTAGGCTCTGCAGTACGTCTTCTAAGGCTGCTACTTAATGATGCTAGGATGGTTTAGTGTGGTTGCGTTCGTGCTTATTACCCATTATTCGACACAGTCTCTCTCATCTCTGGAGTGACTCTGTAAATGAAGCACTTTATTGAAAAAGATAAACGCCTGTCGCAGCAGATAGACTTTGCAGGTAGTAATAATTCACTCCATTAATTCTTTTCAGACTGCAACCCTGCTCATTTGTTTTCCAGTCAAAGTGGAATGAATGGGTGAGGGAGTAGATAAATGCTTTTTCAGTGAGGTTTACCACAGAAACTCAAGATTTTTTATGAAGGAAGGCACATTTGAAATACTATAAATACCAGTATTACACTGACCAAAATGTTAATGTATTTTCTATATGCTTCAGTGTCGTGGTTTCAACCCAACGCAACTCTTAAGCTGCTCTATAATCAACACCAGTAGTCCAGTGAAGTGTTATTTTCGGCATGGGGGGTCAATCACTCAATGTTCTCCCTGTTCAAGTGGGCTGAGACATAAGAACACTGTTGCTTAGTGACGCACAATCGAAAGCACTTAGCATCTTTAGTTTCCTTTTAACATTGTGATTGTGTGTTTTCTGCATACTAGGATCAAAAAAGGTAGACTAGACAAAAAAGGAATTAATATGTCGATATCATACATTTCAGTGATGACAAAATACACATAGTTAGGTCTAAATGGGAAGAAGAGCTGAGGATGGACTCCATAGATGATTGCCGTGAAGACCTTCTGAATGAAGTTAAGTCATCTTAAACGTGCATGGCTCAGTTTAACCCAGCTGATAATGGTGCATGGAGTCCGCCTTAATAAAGCCAGACTGGTTGAAATATATCTATGAGTCATTTTTAAACTGTGGTCCATTTTGGTCTGGAAACCTTTAGACAATCCAACACATATTTAGAGAGATGCAGTGAAACAATATTTTCAATAAAATAACACTGGTATTTCCATTTCCATTAGCATGTGTCTTTTCCATCACAGCAAAAAAAGTGATGGGAATGACATTTTGTCACATTAAATAAAGACAAAACTCATATTTTGGCTTGCTAGCAATAAATATACACAAAACACGCAATATAAAATGCTGTGTTTCTTATTATTTGTACATTCAAAGGAAACATAAGCTGTTTGGAATGACAGCTAATAAGCATATTCTTGATTTGACACAGATTGACCTTAATTTCTTATATGTGTTACCTCCATGGAGCTAACTGTCCTCCACTCATATGCTTTCTTGTCACATGAATATTGCTGTGTATAGTATATGTATATAAACTCTAAAAAAGAAACTGGCCCCTGTTCCCTTAGCTTCATGTTCCCTCATTATCAGAACAGGCCCTTCCATAACTGGGCTGGCAATTAGGGTTGCCCATGTTATCACAGGACTGAAGGAACATAGTGTTGAGGGAACAAAGGGCAAAGGGAACATAGGGCTGAGGGAACATAAGGCTGAGGGGACACAGGGCTGAAGGAACATAGTGTTGAGGGAACAAAGGACCAAGGGAACATAGGGCTAAGGGAACAGAGGGCTCAGGGAACATAGGGCTGAAGGAATAAGGTTTGCTGCAACATAGGCCCGAGGGAACATAGAGCTGAAGGAACATGAGGCTGAGGGAAGATATGGCTAAGGGAACATAGGGCTGTGGGAACATAGGACTCAGATAACATAGGGCTGAGGGAACATAGGGCTGAAGGAATAAGGTTTGAGGCAACATAGGGCTAAGGAAACATGGTGTTGAGGGAACAAAGAGCTAGGGGAACATAGGGCTGATGGAACATAGGGCTGAGGGAATAAGGTTTGAGGCAACATAGGGCTGAGGGAACGTAGGGTTGAGGGAACAAAGAGCTGAGGGAACAACGGGCTGAGATAACCTAGGGCTGAAGGAATAAGTTTTGAGGCAACACAGGGCTATGGGAACATGGGGCTGAAGGAATAAGGTTTGAGGCAACATAGGGCCAAGGAAACATAGTGTTGAGGGAACAAAGAGCTAGGGAAACATAGGGCTGATGGAACATAGGGCTGAGGGAATAAGGTTTGAGGCAACATAGGGTTGAGGGAACATAGTGTTGAGGTAACAAAGAGCTAAGGGAACATAGGGCTGAGATAACCTAGGGCTGAAGGAATAAGGTTTGAGGCAACACAGGGCTAAGGGAACATGGGGCTGGAGGAATAAGGTTTGAGGCAACATGGGGCTGAGGGAACATAGTGTTGAGGGAACAAAGAGCTAAGGGAACAAAGGGCTGAGATAACCTAGGGCTGAAGGAATAAGGTTTGAGGCAACACAGGGCTAAGGGAACATGGGGCTGAGGGAACATAGGGCTGAAGGAATAAGGTTTGGGGCAACACAGGGCTAAGGGAACATGGGGCTGAGGGAACATAGGGCTGAAGGAATAAGGTTTGAGGCAACACAGGGCTAAGGGAACATGGGGCTGAGGGAACATGGGGCTGAAGGAATAAGGTTTGAGGCAACACAGGGCTAAGGGAACATGGGGCTGAGGGAACATAGGGCTGAAGGAATAAGGTTTGAGGCAACACAGGGCTAAGGGAACATGGGGCTGAGGGAACATGGGGCTGAAGGAATAAGGTTTGAGGCAACACAGGGCTAAGGGAACATGGGGCTGAGGGAACATGGGGCTGAAGGAATAAGGTTTGAGGCAACACAGGGCTAAGGGAACATGGGGCTGAGGGAACATGGGGCTGGAGGAATAAGGTTTGAGGCAACACAGGGCTAAGGGAACATGGGGCTAAGGGAACATGGGGCTGGAGGAATAAGGTTTGAGGCAACATAAGCCTGAGGAGTAGCAGGGTTGAAGGCCCAAAATCTGGCTCAGGGACAAAGGATATAGCAAAAAATCATGACTGACCTCTTTTAATTTTTGTATGTTCCTTTTGGTGTCAAGTGTGACAAAAATAAAAAGTAAATGCGCCTTTGTTTTGATAAGCCCCAAACATAACTCAGGGAAGTGTATTGGTCCTGTCCACAACTGCAGCAACCCTGGTCTTCTGTCTTACATACACTGTTCTAACCATGCCCTCTAGTAGCTGTATCTGGCATGCCATCAGAACCCTTGCAATGCACAGCCCAGTGTAGAGATACATGTGCCTTTAAGTCTGTGGATATTCTCATTTATCCAGGTCAATTCCATTCTGGCAACAATTAAATCGTAGGCAACTGGACTTTGATTTTGTCTAGAAGACGTTTCGCCTCTTATCCAAGCGGCTTCATCAGTTCTCAACGCATCAGTCTGACTAGTCCTCACTAGTCTGACAAACAGTGGAGTAAGACTCAGGTTTTTAACCTCTGTGGAGGTGTACACCCACCACCCTCATAAGACAATACTCTGTTAGTGGAGTTTCACTGGACCATTGTTTGTCAGACTAGTGAGGACTAGTCAGACTGATGCGTTGAGAACTGATGAAGCCGCTTGGATAAGAGGCGAAACGTCTTCTAGACAAAATCAAAGTCCAGTTGCCTACGATTTAATTGTTGCCAGAATGTGCCTTTAACAGACTCTCAACAATTAGAAGCCTATTACTATCCATGAACTCTCCAAAACCACCCTCCTTTTCAATCTAGTTGAATAATGTGATGTTTTTTCTAAGCCTAGGGAAAATAAAATTATCTCTCAGGGGAGCCACTGAAGGTTTCTTTTAGTTATGTAGAACATTTACTGAGTATTTCATTAACCTGTCAAACATTTCTCCAGACTAAGAATGAAATCTCCAGCCTCTGACTCCACTAAATAACAATGTTTAATTCCCTGGCGAGTCCTTCCACCCCCTCTATTTTGTCTTTCTCCCATGTTGTAAGGTTTATTAGTTTTGTCCCTTTCTTTTTTTCTTTTACAACTTCTTGTATAGTAAAATATGATGATATGTAGATGCATATAAATGTTGAACTTGTCCTGCTTCCCCCAATGAAAATAGCTGTCAAACAAAAATAACTGATACAATTCTTAATTATTAACTTTAGTAACTTTAGTGGGCTCCAAAAATGTTTTAAAACATCATACATCACAATATGTAAACTGCCACTGAAGAAAACCTACCTACCAGAACCAGTCACTCCCACACCAAACCAACTCCCAAAGGAACTATCTGGCTCTTTATGTGCTTTATATCTGCTGGTCACTAACTGTGTCCGTCTGCTATTAGGTGCTAGGCGGGTAGTGTACATATAGTAGGGCTGGCCAATATGAAGATATTATGTTGTTATCGAGATATGAGACTGTATATCGTCCTAGATTTTGGATATCGTTGAATCGTGATGGCATAAATGGTGTTTTTTTCCCCTCATTTTAAAGGCTGCATTACAGTAAAATGATGTAAATTCCACCCTATCAGAGCAGTGATAGCAAAACTATAAAGTTGTGGGCTATGAAATCAAAACAAAAAGCTGAACGCTCTGTAGGGCTGAAGAATCAGCTGTGGGTTCGTCATCCGAGCAACCACTTTCACATTCATGTCTTTTAATCCTTTTTTAATAGAACAATTACTATTATACCAGCTTTAAATATGTGTTACACGACGGCCACAGTTTGTTAACATGTTAAACAAGGTACAAACAAATTGCATTAGGTTATTCTCACTGTTAATTTGCACACCAGTTATGTTTGTGTTAATCAGATTTTTTATATTTAAACTATAATGGTGATTTGGCACCAGTGTGTGGACACTTATGGAGCGACGCCTACAAAACACATCCTCCCATTTTGGCGGTCTATTAAAGCTTCAAAATCTTCACAGCTCTTCCTTTGTGTTGTCTATGCTGCCGCTGCTGCCGTGCCTCAGTACTGCTGCTCGCTCTTTCAGCCCCACCTCCACATCAGCATCCACCTGCAGGCTCCAGCTAAGGGGGGAAACATTTAATCATCACTCCCCCATATCTCATGTAAACATATCTGCTGGGAGCGATGAGGCTGGAGTCTAGACGCCAAACTCAAAACCATGTTCTGCTGTTGAGATAAATATTTAAACGTGAGTTTTCTGACTGGAATGCTTTTCTTTTTGTCAGCTGGGAGATATCGCAACTGTCTGATATACCCCATATTTTAACTCGAAGGCTCGATATGAATGGTTTTTTTCTCTCAGCTGCTCGTATTTACAGTCCACACAACATGACATGGTGGAGAGGATTATTAGATGCACTGAGCTGAGAAGATTTTGTCCACTCTCGTTAGTTTACATCTGATTTGATGACGTGTTCATTTTAGTCCATCTCAACTGCATAAATGTTTCAGTTCACAAACTGATGATCCGTGTAGTTTTAACTTATTGAACTAAGTAATAGTGGCTTCTTTTTTAATTAAAACTGAACCACGGGAGTTCATGATACATCATGCATTAGATCATGATGGGTCATGTATTAGATAAGCATTAATTAATCATAAGGTATGTACCCTAGACATTAAGTGTTACCCATTAAGTTAGCATTTCTTTCTTCTGTGTCTGACAGGAGCATTACTGTCATGATTTTAGGAGTAGCTATGTATGAGGATGGAAGCAAATAATTTAAAGATATTTTTTGGGGCTCATTATTATTATTATTATTATTATTATGAAATAAGTTGTTAACCATGGTTATGTAATGCTGTGGTTGGGAAATTTTCCAAACTTAGCAATGGCCAGTCTGCGCCTGAAATTAGGTATTCATTTACATATAAAATATATTTTGTTATGGGCATTATTTGCCTCCATTACTGTCTGTGTTGTTCAGTTTTACCACCCTCCATCCACACCATTAATTAGTCACTGCTCAGCATGAGTGTTGGAGCTGAATGACATCACTCCTGACTCATGACACTCTGTGGCCCTGTACTGAGTTTAATCAATAGCTCTCACAACAAGACACTGAAAGGCTTTTAAGTGACGCACAGCCAACTGCCGCTGACACCTACGGCACACAAGAGTCTGTCCTGTCCACGTAGGAATCTTCCAAACAGCTGCAGCATGTCTTGTAAACACAAAACAAAAAAAGCCTCCCTCTGACTTTAGGACTCCACCTACCTGTGCTCCAGTTTTTTGCGATTGACACACATGGCCCTCTGGTAGCCCTGAGCGACGCACACCTTATGGCGGCTGCACTTCACATTCTGGCACGGGTCCTTGGTGGTGTCCACGGCTGCAAAGCACAAAAACAACAACACTGAAAATCACCAGAGGTGTCAATCACAGCTGAGGTGTTTTGCTTTAATTCGCTATTTTTGTCACCTCCCGGAGAAAAATACAGAGCTTCCGGCTGTTTTTTATTCGTCTTTTGACAGGGAGCATGTGTTCAACAGATTGATAGCAAAAGAGAAACAGAGGAAAGCAGCGATTTTATGTGCTGCATAATCAAATCAGCATATTTACACCTTTTAAAATGATCTTCCGTCCTCTCCTCTCTAAACGGGGCGTCTGCAATGAAAATCATGAAAGGTGTAATGAAAAATATTCTGGCAGTGTGCACAAATGAGTCCATTGATTTTATAGTCAGCACTCCTGAAAACATGGACGCCTCGCTGTCATTAGCGAGGCAGTCTGTCGTCAATAGCACTGCCTGCAGTCTCCAACGGCTGTCTGTGATTGCGAGGAAGCCTGACAGCACTGATTGAGCATCTCTTTCTCTCGGCTTGTCACATCTCACTTCCCCCGTGTCAACTTATCACTGTCTCTCCCCGTCTTGCCTTTTCTCTCTCTCACACAAATACACACACACACACACACACACACTACTCCATCTTTGTCTCCCACGTTCCCTTTCTTTCCACCCTCTTCCCTCCCTCCTTCAACAGCATCTCTCTCTATCTTTGGAGAGTTGAACTTTTCAATGCCAACCTCTTTTCCACTGATAGACTGAGATGGAAATAGCACTGTGTCCTCCACCTTCCTCAGCCTGTGGTCAATGCCATCCGAAACTGGATGTCACACCGTCCCAGCCCATTTGCCGCCTTGCTGGAGAGGCCTCGGAAAACTCGCAGGCTCAGATAAATTTAAGAGTGAGTGGCAAGCGGGCGGTCGGCGAGAGAAATTTAAGCTGTGAAATCCTGAGTCAGCTTTGAGCAGCTGCTTTGTAGTCAACACGGTCAACAGACGAGGTGGCTGCCAGCCAGATTCCTGCAAATCCGGAGACTAGGTGATACTTTGATGCTACAGCAGGGAGGTACGAGGGAACAGTGGATGACATGACAGCTCTGAGGGAATCCAAAAATACTGGTAGGAAGCTGTGCGCCTGTGGTGCTTTTGTGCTATAAGACTAGGTATGAGACTGAGCTGGTGAACGGAGTTCGTAAAGAGCCCAGGACCTGCACCACTTCACAGCCTCCGTGCTTATGATCCACCAGCCTCTGTTCTACGATGCATTTTTATTGTGGAGGTTACGTGTTTGGTCCTGTTAGTTTATCTGTTGGGATAGCAGGATATCTCTTCTGAGTAACTTAGTCTCTATTTGTGGCTTCAGCACTCTATTTCCATGAAGGCAGTTTGAGGGCCGGATCAAAGCCGGTGCCTGAACTCAAAGTAGTTGTCTGCGTTTCGACAGCCTAATAAGCGTCTCTCAGCCAAAACTGGTTCAGGAGCAGCACCAACACTTTGCTGGTCTAGAACCATTGATGTATAAAGACAACTGGATACAGTGTCGGAGGCGGGACTCCATTTACTTGTATGAAAGTTGCTCAGTGGCGTATAAAGCCAGAAAAGCTCAGTTTTAGTAGAATGACATTACCCTGATCTCCAGCCTTGTGGGGCCCATAAAGCAAGCTCACAAGAGACTTCTGCCCGAGTGGTTAACTTCCGGTTTAGCACTCTGCTAACTTAAATGAGGATAAATATGATTTTATTGAGCTGCTCTTCTAGACTTTAGAAATGTTATTGGACCAAATGGATCAAATCCTGATGGTGACATGAGTCATTTCACAGGGGTTGTGACGCTTGAAAAAATGTATCCATTAGTTTTCAGATGTCGCTTTTACAATATAAGTCTATGGGAAAACTTATTTTTGAGCCCCATGGAAACACTTGACGAAACCCAGAAGTTGTAATTTGCATTTGGCCACTGTGTAAATTTGGCGTCAAAGCCCATCGTTGTTCTTCTGGATGTCACGATCCTGGGTTTTTGTTTATATTACGTTATCCTATGGACTTTGTTTTGGAGTTTTCTGGTGTCTTGTGTTTGGATTTTTGATACCTGAGTTCATCGTATTTTTCCCGGTTGGTTTTCAGTTTAGTTTTTGTTCTGCTGTCATTTGGACTTTCAGTTACCTGCTTGCTCTGGATGTTTATTATCATGCACTTGGGTTCTCCCTCAACTGATACTTGACACTGGAGCTGTCTAGAACCAAGAAACCGCTTATGCCAGGGGAAGGGGGCAGGATTATTGTGACCAATAAAGGTCAATTAACACTTTGTGACTGCTAATTAGAGAAATAAAATAGAGCTTCAGAGTGGATGTGAAATCAAAGGAGCAGTGATCCATGGAGGAGACAAACTGTCTCAATGCATTGTGATCCTTCCCAGAAATCCAGAATAAACTTGAGTGAGCTTCAAGAAGAAAGCTGGCATTCGAAGAAATACGGCATGAGATGGCAGTAACATTTAAGAAATAATTAAGAAACTAAAAGAGGAGTTCAGAGACCAAAAGTAGAAGAAGGACCCCAGGTGCAACTCATTCTCACTTCAAACTCGTCACATATTCATGTTTGGTCATGGACTTTCCACGTACAGATACAGTGTGAAAGGTACCCTGGGTGCGTTGGTTGTTGACGTTCTGGGATGCCATGTCAAGTTCTGCCTGTTGCATGCATTGTCTTCTTTCAAAATACACTTCTGTTTTCACAGGAAATTTAATGTTTACATACAGTCTCTTTCAAAATAAATGTATTACGTCAGTAAAACACGTGGCTGGGTTTAGGTAACAAAAGCATGTAGTTAGGTTTAGGAAAAAAACAGGGTTTGGCTTTAGAACACCGTTCTCTCGGGTGAAAGTCAGTGTTTGTTGGACCCATCCATCACCCCTCCCGCCTGCCCAAGTCAGACTTTTGCTGCCTTAACTTTAGTTCTTGGCACCCGGCACCATTAAACTATAATGGCAATCGGCCGCGTATCATGCTGACGTTAGAGGACGTTTTTTTTCATTGGTCTCTGATGCCGCAAGTCACTGCCCAGGCGCTGGATTTTGATGACTTCGGAGTTAGACCAGTCTCCCAAGTGAAGCGGCGATGGTCTGCCACAGAGAAAATCCCATAGTTTGGCAGTCTACACAAACCCTAGCAGGAAATATTTAATAATCTTATGGATTTTTGTTGGAAAAATGATGCATTTTTGCAACATTTTAAACACCTACACAAAAAAGCCTTAACAAAAATAAATGTAACATCGCACAAAAATGTACAATAATGGGAAATCTTTGACGTCATGCTGCTTCATCACCTTCATTACCTTATGATATGACGGGTCACAAGACTTGGTATTAAATCAGCCTCTTGATATCTTTTATACTGTTCGAGCTATCACAGCACACATTTCATGCTTGTTTTTGTCGTATTTAGGCTTTTACATTGATTTGTGTTTGGTGAAATGAGTCAGTCCTTCAAACTATCACCATAAAGTCTACACAAAAACAAACTCTCATGCTCAGTGTTACTGTCTTTGTGACTGGATTTGTGGTTTTTGAATAACCAGCTAAAAATCACAGTAAAATCTGACCAAAATTCTCATGTTAAATGAGCTCTGAAACTCTGAAAATCATTTCCACAGACTGACGCCGCCCGCGTAGCAGATGTATAAACATCTCACCAAAGAAGAAGAGCACAGCAAGACAGCTATTGTGATCGGTGGAAATATTGGACTTGAAACATTAGTTTTGCCCCGGGAAAACATTTTATCATTCTGGGCAGGCAGAAGAAAAAGATATCTGTGAGATCAAGAAAATATCTTTGAAGACACAACCAGCAGCTGGATAACAAGTAAAAAAACATACAGTGCCACACTATATCACTGCTGCAGAGGGTGTGGATAAAGCAGGTTGTCACCAGTTGTCAGGGGTGAACTGGGATATTAGACTGGGTGCAGTTACTCTTCAACACTGCAAGGTCTTTTAAGATTCCCACAATTTTCTGTTGAAGTTTTGCATTTACATTAATAAAAATTTGGCATTTTTATCATGATTGTCTTCAAGTAGGTGCATTTTGATGCATATATAAGGCTGTCCCGTATACCAGATTTTTAGCATCAAAGCTTCAGTAAGAAATATTCACAGTTAATCGGCGCTTTGACGGGGTCACCCTGGTCACACAAAGCTAGCAAAATGAATACTTGGCAAGATGGTCAGCCTGTTCCACACAGTTTTTTAGGTGATTTGCTAAGCTCATTGTGGATTTTATACACACCAGTTTCCTTAGGAGCATCTGGCACTCGACTTTTGGGGGTCATCTTGCATTTCTTTTAACAATTCCAGACACCTGACGTTTTTAACATCTTGCTAACGTGTCTTTGAGCCTGTCACATGTGGTCAAACTGTCCTGGTTCCAGAAGGGCTGGACTGCTAATGATTAAATGAAAGCAAGTCGGAGTCACAAAACAATGACAAAGTTTAAATGTCCTTGTCTGCGAGTAACTAAAAATAACAAAACAAAACAAACATAAAAACAAAACAGAGCATTCAAATACTGATGTTACGTTACAGTGTGGGCTCCATGCTTACTCAGACAGCTTGTCGGAACAAAGACAGACAGCTTGTTGGAACAAATACAGCACAAGATGGCTACAGCCGAGTATGACAGCAACATTTAAGAAATAACAAAGAGGAGTTTTTAAGGTGATTTGCCAAGATCATTGTGGATTTAATACATAGCAGTTTTGTTTGGTGCATCTGGCACTCGACTTTTGGGGGTCATCTTGCATTTTTTTTAACAATTCCAGACACTTTTTTAACATCTTGCTAACGTGTCTGTTAGCCTGTTACATGTGGTCGAACTGTCCTAGTTTCAGAAATACTGGACTGCTAATGATGAGAGCAAGTTGGTGACACAGAGCTATCACAAAGATTAAATGTCTTTGTCTGAGAATAACTAAAAATATTGGATGACTATTCAAATACTGATGTTACGTCCATTACCATGGCAACAATTGTAGCTTTAAAGCATT